TCTCTCTCTCTCTTTCTGTTTCATTTGTAGCACTGCGTGTTCAGTAACCTCACCGCAGTGGGTACGAATGAATTTCTATTTTATATTTGTCTGTTCTCACTTTTTTGGAAATGTATCGTTTACTGTGGGTCGATAATTGAAATTCCGATGTCAGTGGGTGGCTACTGCTATGGTCACTCAGCAGTATTTCTGCCTTTTTAGAACGTTTGTTTTGTGCAGATATTCAAAGTTACTTACGTCTGTACCAATTGTTCTTGTTTCCTTTCTGATCAACTTGTTGATTTTTTTTACCCTCCCTCTCACCGATTCAAAGCAAAATACAACACTTACTTATATGACGATGCAGAAAACGAAAGAAAAAGTTCTCAAAATCAAATCTCGTGGACAAAGAGTCCTGAAATTTCAACTATTAGATTCCATAATTGGTTCAGTAGTGCACGTGTACACATATGAGCTAACAAAATAGCTTTAAAAAAAGAATTAATTGGGTGTTTGTCTTTGTTTGCCTTTGTTCGTTCATTTTGTTTGTTTGTTTTTTTGTTTCATTGGTTATATTTTAATGTTTTTCTTTCTGAGAATATTCAACAACTTCACAGACTTAGTAACTCAGTCGCAGAATACAGCACGGTAGGCGTTCACGAGCCTGTATTTTCCTAGACAAAGCGTTGGGTCTCGAATTCAAGTTGAAACTTTCGTTATCAGCTCAAAAACTTATGTTTTTTAATATGTGATTTCATCCATCTGTTTTCCAGGTTTGGAACGTAGAAATATAAAGGATTGCCCAAGCTCTAGCATTCTAACAGTTATTAAATATTAACTTTTACACCGTAGTCCGAGTTCAGAGGTCAATGGGACGCGCTATGAGCGTTTGGGGTCTAGCACTTTGATTCCTTGTCTCGTGCGACTATTCGGTGTAGTCTCTGTGAGGTAGAGAGTAATTATTCGAAATGGGATTGAAATCTCGGTGACGTAGAGTCTTATTATTCGACGATTCGACGAAGGACCAGATATTCAAATGGGAAAGAGGCCAACTATTCGACTGCTCAATAAATATTCGCAATAGGGCAGAATATGACCTTCGACTATTTGACAAGAGGATAATAATCTCTGTGTGGTTAAATATTCCTCTATTCAATTATACAATCCATTTGGGGAAGAGAGCAAACATTCAACTCTTTGATAAAGGGTTAGTTAATTCCAGTGGGGTAGAGGATGACCATTTGACTAATGGGAAATAGCTTAAATAATTATAATTTTGTCAAGGCTGACTATTCGATCGTAGGGTAGATAATCTCAATGGAGAAAGAGTCCAACTATTCAATAGAGGGAAGATAATCTCAATGGGGAAAGACTCCAAGTATTCAACAGACGAGATAATCTCAATGAAGTAGAGCCCGACTATTCGATCGGCGGGTAGATAATCTCAATGAAGTAGGGTTCGACTATTCGATCCTAGGGTAGATGATCTCAATAGGGTAGAGGCCCAGCAGCTGCTTAGGTTTCTGTTCCTTCGGCTCTTGTAGAATGTAGTGGCGCCGTGATCGGAGGTAGCGAGACACCTGGTCTGGGCTGAACCGTTGTGGGCTGTTGGCGAAATACACAGGGATGAGGGGAGGGAGGGAGGGAGGGAGA